TAATATATGTATGCCTATAATAGAATGTTTTTTTGTAATTAATGTCATACTCATTTTATAAAAAGGAACCATAAACCAAACTAGTATTTATAAAAATTAAATTTACGAATATTTCGGTTATTGCAGATAAATATTGACAATTACAAAATAATACACCTAAAGACATAAAAACTAATAAATTAAATTTAATGATTTAAAACCAAAAACACTATAAAATTTATTTGTTTAGTAACAAAGAATAAGTTTTTATTTATTTCAATTTTTTATATTTTAAGTATATAAATTAAATATAGCGATGGATCTTAAAGTACTTAAAAAAATCATATTAATATAAGGGCCAATTAATAATATTAATGTATCAATAAAAAAACTTATTAATACAACTAATACAAACTTTGTATTAAATGTTATTACCATTACAATTGGCCAACATATTTCCATTACTACAATTCAAGCTGGCAAAATGATGATATATAATATCGAATCACACAAGGATTTCAATTTCAATTCAATTGCAAAATCAAAATTATAACACTTATAAAATTTTAAATTAGTATTTAATTTTATAATTTTAATATTTTTTATAATTTTTATCGCCATTTAATTGGTAGGCTTTTTAAAAATCAATGTTACTTTACTTTCAACAAACAAAATTTATGGCTTACATATTCTTTAGTCTATTTTCTCAGAAGGATTTGGATAAAAATTTAATTGAAATAAGGAAATATTAATTTTAAAATATCTAATTTTTTTATGGTAAAATAAACCTAAAGTCTAGATTAAAAATAATGAATTTGTCTTTTTATTAATTAAAAAATTATTAATTAGAAATTAATCTTATGATTTTCAAAAAAAATTTAAAGATTATGAGAAGATAAATTATTTGATAGATATATATTAAAAAAATATTAAATAGATCCACTTTTTTACTAAATTTTTCTATCCTATTATAACCATTATTAAAAAAATGGATCATCTCCAAAAAAACCATCATTAGTATCATGGCCTTATCATTACTAATTCTTGCACCTACTCTTATTATGGTTTTGAGAATTAGTCATGAATTCAAAGAAAAAGGCATCAAAGAAGAAGATGTGCTAGAGCAGAACATGAAACAATTAACAATGTGAGGAGAAGCATAGATCAAAAGTAAGTACAATAAGCACAACTGGATTGGTGTGCATTTTTATCCATTTAGATCAAGAGTTATGAGATTTTGGAGAGAATTTGAAAATATGTTTATATTCTACTTACATAACAAAACATAGAAGGTTACCTTGGAAATATTGGGCACAAATGCTAGAGTAAAATTATAGCATAATTAATTCTATCAACACTAAGTGACAAATTTTAACCATTTTGTGGTATTAATACTCTAATTTGTCCTCAATTGGCTCTATAACTATACATGATAAGCACAGATGAGATTATTTCTAAAAATATTCAAGCTGTAAATAGTTTTCAAAACTTATACTAATAATCTTTACATACTAATATATAGATAATTGTATTTAAAATTTTCATTATTTTAAAAAAAAACTTAGATATTAGAGTTGAATTATATATGTTATGCATTTAGATAATATTTTAATAAATTGATATAGTTTGGAATTGAAAAAATTCAAATAGAGTTAAAAATAAAACATAAAGTTAGGTTGTAGCATAGTTTATTGTTTCTAATTGAGATAGACAATTTCAAAAAGAATCCTATGAAGAGTAAGTGGTTTAGAGAAGAAAGGACAATAATTACAACTATGAAACCTGTAAAACATATTCTATCAATGAAAAAGGAAAGCACAATAAGATTAAATAATTTTCTTATTTGTTTAAGCAACTATTAGTTCAAACAAGATGTATAGCATCACGAGGGCATATAAACACGTAAGACCTTAGTCTTAATAAATGCAAAAACTAATATATAAGTATACAGATAAAATTTAGTTGTTTGTAAAAATTGGAGCAACATAAATGATTTTCTCACAATTGGCAAGTAAACTATTTAGAAAGAATTTGTACCTCATCAACTACAAATTGAGTAAAATAGGCCCAATTTCCATGAGCTGAATCATTTTTATTTTTTTTTCTCTTGCTTACCTTCTCTTCTTCTTTGATTATTCTTTCTTTGAATTCACCACTAACTATTAAAAGCATAGCAAGGATCATTATGAAGGTTGGTAATGGTGACGGGACTAAGTGTATGGATTAAAAACAAAAAGGGTTGAGATGAGGCTTGGAAATAAGGAAAAGAGGTTAATTTAGAGAAAAGGGTTGAAATGAAGGCTAAGAATAGAAGGATCAAAGCCAAGAAATGAGGGGAGTTGGAATAAAGGCTATGATTCTAATAATGATTTTTAGAAATGATTCATTCTTCTAATGAAGGTAATAATAGAATGAATTAATTTAATGTTTCTTTCTCTTTCAATATCTATGTATATATATATAAATATATTAATAAAATTGGCTAAATATTAATTATTACAATAGTATTAGAATGTTATATTTATTTATTTTATTAATTATATTTTTATATTTAAAAATATTTATTTCAAAGTTGATTCAATCACCTCCAAATTAGAAAATAAATTTAAATCACAAGTAGAATGATTTTAATTTTTAATAAAAAAATAAAAATAAATAATAAGAAACTTAATTATTTTTTTTGATTTTAGATAAATTAGTGTAATAAGCCTTTGTATCATTAAAAAACTTAAATATTCTAAAGCAAGTATTCAATTCTATCTTATTATAATTCTAAATTAACCTCTTTATCATACTAATATACATTATTAAATACTTTATAGAATTTAGCCTAGCTATAATATTATCAGGTTAATTTTTAATAAAAGAATCCAAACTATGCTAAACTTATTTAATATGATATTATTTAAGGTTAGATTTAGATTTGTCAAATTTATGAATTAATTGATTAATAAGAAATAAAATATTTTGGATATATATATATATATATATATATAATACTATTCAATAATTAAAAATAGATAAATTATTATAATTTATTATTTTATAATTTATTTAAAAAGAAATATTATTATATATACTATGGTTTTAAGTTTAATAACTTGATAAAGTCTTAATATTTTTCAAAAATAAATTAAATCTTGATAAAAAAAAATTGATTTATCATTAATTCTAATTTTAATATTTATAATCTGAAAAAAGTAAATTTTGAATACCAAGAAAATCCAACTACTTAAGAAGAATATGCCAATTAAAAGGAATCAAAGACATCCAAACTATCAACACTTTTATATTATTTATATAATTTTAAATTAAAAAATTATATTATTATTTCTAAAATTACCAATTTTACATGCAAATAAATTATATATATATATATATATATATATTCAAGTCATTCTCTTAGCATATTAAACTAATCTCAATCATTTTAGTTTATTTCATTTTAGGTTTGTCTCATTTTTTAAAATTTCTTGCCTATGGGTTTTCTTTTTTCTTTTTCCTTTTCAGTACAAATAATACACATTTTTTATTTCTATGATATCATAGAAATATCTTATTTCTGATAAGACATATATTTTAAAAGATTAAAATAAGATATTTTGTTTATGATAATTTTAAATATCTTTAAAATTCTGTAAGATATGAAATATGTTATGGTTTTAAATATTATATCTTAGGTATGATATTTTAAATATGATAAGATGATAAAATACAAGTTACTTTCCAAAATATAAAAACTTTGTAAGTACTTGTTTATTTATTTATTCATTTAATCATTTTAACAACTCTATTATGGTTCGGTAAACAAAATATTAAATCTATTTATGCCAAATAGTGCTTTTTCAAAGAATAAAATATAAAATAATTATTTTACAAAAAAACATAAATAATATGCATACACATTGTAAACAAAATGAAATGATTTTAACGAAAATGAAAAAGTACGTCGAAATTCTAGTATATTTTTATGCAAATAAAATAAAAATATATATAATATATAATTATAAAATGTATAAATAATTTAATTAAAATATATTACATTTATATTAGTGTCTAAAATTTTTAATCGCCAAAATTATATAAAAAACATGCATAAAATGTATATATATTAAAAATATTTATTAATGTTATCAAAAATTTGATAATGCAACATGTTAAAGATTCCAAATTTTCTAGTGTAAATTTATAAAACATTAAAGAAGTGATTTATTTATATAACCTACAACATAATAGAATGTTTATACGTATTGTTAAAGTTGCCAGCAATGCCAGAAAATCCAATACTGTGTTTAGTATAGTAACTTCGAAATTATTTACTGTTACAGTTTTAGATGTAAAAAATAATACTCTTTCGCCACTTAAAAAATAAACTATATATATTGTTAATAGACTATTGTAGAGTTGGATTACACTATTGTAATGAAGACCAATAAATATTAACATCCTAACTAATATGTTCTTTAGTTGCATATTTCAATACAGTATTATATTGATACTAATGTTGTTTACAAATTTATATTTTCATTAATTTTATATTTTATATTCTAATTTATATGATATTTATTGGTTTATTTAATAAAATAATTCTTATTCAAAAATACACCTAGTTAAAATGAAGAAAATGACAATACTACTAATATAATTAAGACTAAGGCTCTTTTTATATAACTACATTAATATATATATATTAGCATTTATTATTCTTTGCTAGTAATTAAGATACATCTTTTCTCAATTTAGACATCTGAAGCATGATTGATTATTTTTTTCATAAAAACAAATTATTATATCACTTTTTAATAAAAAGCTTATGATTTATTTTCAAGAAATAATTATATATCTATATATATATATATATATATATAAAGAGAGAGAGAGAGAGAGAGAGAGAGAGAGACTTCCAAATATAATATGAAGTTATTTGCCTAAATTAATGAGATTAGTTGACAACTAAAGTATTATATTAAGTTTTTAATAACTATTTAATTAACTTTATTTTAACATAATTGGATTTTGTATAATGTTATTTACATCATTGATAATTTTGTACACTTTGAATGTCTTGAACTAAATAATTGTATTGTGTAAACAAATTCTTGTCTTTCAAAATCTTATTATAAGAAATCAAGTCAAAACATTGTGGTGACATAAGGCGAAAATTTTCACTGAATTTTTTTAAAATAATAAGTTAACCCAAAAACCAAGGTAGACGATTCATATCAAACACTTGTTTTAGCCAATGAAGCAGTGAATTAGGGTTTGCAAGCTTGCATCGTCGTCGTCGTCGTCCTTCCGTGGTGAAGGTGCCGAAGGAGGGCGTCGCCGCAGCAGTCGCAGAGCCTCGACGTTACAATGTCACAAACTCCCACACAAATTCAAGCCTGAGAATATAGAGTGAGTGAGTGCGTGTTGTGGGTACCAAGCATGGAAAACGGCAACTATAGGCAAAAATGTTTCTGAACGCAAGTACCGCTAGAATTGGTCGCGGCAAGCTGCAGAACCGTCTTCGGAGCCTTGTTGCGATCACATCCAGCTCCAGATGGAGTCACCAACTGCTTGTGGCGAAGTCTAGATTGTGACAGAGTCATGTTGACACCCCCGCAATCCTGATGTTTGCATTCGTGGCGAGGTGAACAAAACAACAAAAATGGTTGCAGTGAAAAACAGTTCTTTGTGAGCACAGTTTGTGCCCGCTGCCTCAGTTCTTTCAACACTTGGACGTAAGAATCGTTACGATGGATGGTCCTGGAAACATGTTTTGGAAGCGTCAACATGATTCTGACGTTAAACGTACGACGTCTTAACCGCTGTAGTGGTAGCCATCAAGTTGGTCTCGAGAGTTGTAGACCGTAGGAATGTTGGTTATTTCAATAGTTGATTTGCAACAGCGAGTCTTTCCCGATTTGTTTTCTTTTTTCCTCTCATTTCTGTGAGCATGGATCTCCCGAAACTGCCTGAGGACCTGGAAGTTCCACGTCACCTGAATAAACTAAACGATAAGCGAATCGCTATCGCTGTACCCGTTGTTGGTTTTCAATCATGCGATGTAAAGCAAAAGCCTGCATGTCGTCCGTGAGGCATGAGAGTGCAGTGATGAGGTTCAATTGTTCCTAGCATGCATTTGATTGGTGTTTGGTATCCGGTTTCACTAGATTTTCTACGATCACGACACTGTCCTGTGAAATTTTCGGTTAGGTGAACCGAGGAAACTATGTCAGTAGCGACGGGAAAGTTTATCTGCCACCAGTTATTGAACCTGGAGCTACACATTTTGCTCTTGCGTGATACGAACTGGTATTCGATATCCCTGACAGAATCACTGTCTAGACAGTGAATGACTATTATGACGTCCGCTCTGCTTTGCCTTTCAATGGAAACGGTTCGCACAGCGACTTTCGCGACGCAGCAGCTGCCATCATTGCAATCCGCTTAGGAGTGACACAGTTCTTAATAATGCACACCGCTGTAGCAAGTGGCAAATATTTATATGTATATATTTATACTATACTATCCTCATCGTGCGGTGTTGAAAAGCAGTTGGATTAAAAAACTACAATGTGAGGGTGAAGAAATGGTGACACCGGTCTGACAAAGCTCCCTTGTCAAGTTGCCGCTGGGGTGTTGATTATGAACCGGTTGTAGAGTCGGCAGCTCAACTTCGATCTCCGTGGACTTTTGACCGAATGCATTTGACCTTGTGCTAGAAACTTCAGTAGAGTTGTTATTATAGATGACTGTAGCTTGGACTCATATTGCCGAGAACTTCGCCGAAGCTTGGTCGAAGTAGAATGACACCTACAGTACATAGCTTAACTGGCTCCATCAACATGCGCTCAACGTGCATTCAAGGTTCGGCTATACTGAACCGGAAGCTGTAGTCTAGAATTGAACTATCCAGGCTTTCAGCTCAGTGCAGGCTTCAGGCAGCAAGCGGTCAGTCTTGGTAATATTGTACGAAGAGCAGATCTGAGGCAACACCTGGCCATCCCCCATGGAATCAGAGAAAGCTGCTGAGCCTGCCAGCAAGCTAGACAAGAGAAATGCAGTGTCGGGGGTGACATTTCTGGAGATCAAGAATAAAAATTTGGAAGACGAAACTGTGCTGACAAATGAGGAGATTAGCAAGCACAAGAACGAGAACGACGCTTGGGTTGTGGTTGACGGAATTGTGTATGACATCTCCCAATTTGTTCAGGCTCACCCTGGTGGTGCGGAGGTGGCTCTCTTCCTTAACATTCTGTTCCCAAGTAGGATACTCATGTGTACAACTAATGTCACTGTTGAATATCTATATCTTTGAGAATATTATTGAAAATGGTCCTCTTGCCGTCGCTGGATACAGAAAATTCTGAAGCATTTGCATTTGGAGGACGTGGGCAAGTTGATGCGAGGTGATGAGGTCGCCTCCTCGGAATCTCACTCACACAGCAAACACGCCTTTCGTACGCTCCAGCAGTTTCGCATTGGCCGTGTTAGTGATTACAATCGGTACTACCGTTAGATTCTCTCTCCACAATACGTTGTTTTTGTTATCCAGCCAAGTTGAATTGGTGCTGAACAAATATGCAAGGGGTGCGAATTTTATTCATTTTGATAATGTGAATTTGGTCATGGCTGAGCTGACTGCAGTGGTGAGGACATGTCGGAGTCAACCAGGCCCAGAAGAGAGGAAAGAAAATACGTTGTGGATCTCGACAAGCCTCTGGTCTTTCAGGTGGGCAAAAGTTGTGCAGCCCACTCGATTTCACTTTCGCTGCGCACCAGCAGGATGATGGCAAAAAAAGTTGGTAGGCTAGTCGTTGGGGAAATTGTGATAGAGGAGTTCGTGCTCGTATCAATTCAATCCATTCACATGAGAAGTTCACGCACTGTTTCTTAAAGGTCTCACCTGCCCCAGAGACCACCTGTCTCAGCTTCCCTGGATGATAACGATGTCACTGTGATACATGACTTCAGGTGGGGAAACTGGGTGCCGAATATGATCAATGGGTGCACAATCCCATAGTGCAGAAAGATCCTCCTCGGTTCTTCGAAAGCGATGTCGCAGAGGTATTTAAATTCCTCAACTATTCTCAAACGTTACAGTGTCTTCGCACACTTTTCTAGTGATATAATCAATTGGGTATAGAAGGTTTCCTGTGAAGACTAGTGATGGTGGCTTCAACGACAGACCCTTGTGGATGATGATGGGATTGGTTTCGTCGATTGCAGTTTTTTACAAAAACGGCGTGTTGGGCAATACCAGCGGTGTGGGGACCAGTGGTGATGTGTTTAGCCGTAGCCGCTCACAAGGATGGACTTCAGCTGTCAGCTGCACCATTCTTCATGGCATCTGGAGCGTTCGTGTGGACTCTTATTGAGTATATATTGCACCGATACCTCTTTCACATGAAAACATCCGGTTATTGGTGTGTTAACCTTCGTGCATTACCAAGGAATTTTTTTGGTGTTACTTCAATGTATTATTGTGTTGATCCAGACGAGGATTGAAGTTTCCAAGAATGTATAATTCTCGCTTCTTCGGTCGTTCTACTAAATTCTATTTCGACTGCAATTCCTCCTCGTTCACTCTTGAGAACTGAATCTAATACATACAGGACAAATACTTTGCATTACTTCCTGCATGGATTCCATCACAAGCACCCAATGGACGGAACCCGTCTAGTGTTTCCACCCGTCATAGCTGGCATTATTCTTGTCGCGGTCAGAAATTCTCGCCTTCCTCATCACTTGAGTTGGCATGGTTAACTTTTCAGTTGGTCGTAATTCTCCTGCAACAGTGAATTATTACTTGCTCACAATCAAAGGTCTGGTGACGCCGTCTCTGCTGTAGTAGCTATTCAAGCGATCGAGAGGACTGGTGTGCCATTTGAAATTGACGATGAGCTATGTTTGCAGATCTGGTTTGTAACCGAGCCACTTGTGATCTTCCTGGGGAGGCCTGCGAAGTTGAGCATGTTCAGTGGCGGACTGCTTATGTACATTGCGTATGATCTCACGCACTATTTTCTTCACTTCGGCACACCTACTAACGAAATGTCACGCAAGCTGAAGGTATGCCTCTGCAACGAAAAACTATCCATGTACTTTCGAACTTCACTATTGACAACTCTTCATTCATGTGGTTTCGAGGTATCGTAAATAAGCGCAAAGTTTTAGAAAATTGAAACTGATTTAGTAATCCACCCCTCGTGCATCTGCAGAGGCTACACTTTGACCACCACTTTAAAGACCAAAGTACAAGTTTCGGAGTCACCACGCACTTCTGGGACAAAGTCTTTGACACGTTTCCCAGTTTCCAAACAAGGTTTTAGGTGCTGGATCTTAACTAATAATCACCTTGCAGTCCTTTCCATCGATGGTTGAGTCCGGCAGATCAGGAGACTCCGGGGTTCTGTTCGTTGTGCTCAAATGCCACTTTAAAACTCCAACTACTACTAAGCAGAGATTAGAAGTCAGATTAATGGCGCGCACCTTGGAATGTCTGTGTACAATGTTCTATTTGGTAGCAGGAAAATAGGAAAAGCACACAACTAGTTAGTTATCCACCTGGGGTCAAGCTAGAATGAAGGAATTTTGTATTGTATAGCAAGAACTTAGAGTACGCAGCCTTTGTAAGGCAATGAATAGCTGTAAATTTTGTATGTTAAGAATAAATGACTCTAAGAAACAGATATTTACCAAAAGAATAATTCGTCCATATGCTTGTAGCTTCAGACAACATCTGGATGTATCATTTGAACATCAACACAGGCATTTCGGATGATTGGAGCTAACACTCTAGTTTCCTCGACAACAAAGCCCAAACCAGAATGTCTTTGTGAATTGGTGGGGAAACAGTGCTTCATGAATCAGGGAGTATTCAATTGAATCAAACTCCCGCTTCGTAGTCTGGCTGCAAGCATGCTCACACACCAAGAATGGTTTGCGTTGAATCAATCTGATGAGTTCAGAACTTCGTTATCGAGGTAGGAATTTGCCTCAACTTTTAAAGACATGGCTTCTCCAGTTATTTCCACATTCTCCATACAAGAACAGCGGTTACGAGCTGCTACGTTCGACACAGTGGATTTCTTAAATCATATCACTTAACTAATCTTTTTCTTCGAGCACGAAACGTCTCTAAGCAACTCCAAACTTTTGGGTTTTTCTAATCTCGGGGTTCGGCAATCGTCCCTTGGCAAGACGATCGGCTATTGTTGTAGAGGTGGAAGCAAACCCTTGCAATAATACGCCAAATAAAAAAAAGCAAATCCCAGTGCTTCGCAGGCGTCAGAAAGAGAGTACATCGTCACCTGTCGCAGCAGGATTAGAAGTTAGTTAGACCTGGAGATTGGACCTGGGGACTGCATCGATCAAGTGCAGCGTTATAGCAATATAGAGTAGGATGTCTAGATGTCTAGACAGATGCGAATCAGGGTAAAACAGTATTGATTTTGCACAGGAGGAACTTCCTTGCACTTATTAGCTATTGTATAAGCAAGCAAGTATAAGATAAATAAGGAAGAAGCATTACCAAATTGGTGAAGTGTCATGCATGACGACTCACAATGATTTGCTATTAGATTTCGATTCGTTTCAACATTGTCAGCAATGGCATGTCTTTTGTATGGATTCAAAGATGATTGGTATTCTTCCAACCATAAAGAATTGTCCAGTACTAATTTTTTAATTGAAGTATTTGGTGTTGTAATTAATGCCTTCATTTACTATAATAAAAACATCCCGTCTCCATGCTAAAGCGGGTTTGTTAGGAGTGTATTCACTGAGCTAGTGTGAACCAGGCAGGATGTCAGTGAGTATTTTTTACTAGGTAAGTTGCAAGAGATAGCCAAGGCGGCTCCAAATGGGGCAGAAACAATGCCAGATTCAACATGCTCCATAACACTGCCAAAGACAATGCTCCATGGTTTTAGTAACTCCCTTCTAGCAACATCAACATATCCCTGATAGATTTATGATTTTGCTCCAACTTCTAATAGAAAGACCACCAAAATTAATTTGCCAAAGCAAAGTTTGGAGTTTGGTAGGTTTATTGGAGACTCAAAAGAGGCTGATGTTGTCCTTGGATTCTAAGGCTCATAGGCCAAGTCAAACTTGTAGCATTGCTATATTTCGAAATTTTTTGCTTGAAAATGCATCAAGCATTTAGTTGTAGAAAATAAATGGAAAAATGCTACAATAAGGTCTTAATAAGTCTAATAGAATCTTGAATAAAATCTAATTAAACCTTAACAATTTTAATCAAAATTTAACCAAATCCAAAAGAAGTTTGAAAGAAATTATGAAAGAAATATAATAAATCATAAATTAATCTTAAAAAAAAATTCTAAAGAAATACTAAAAACAAAAAAACCTTAAAGAAATAATAAAGAATATTTTTAAAAAACTAAAAATAGAAATAATAAAGAAATAGAAATTCTAAAAAAATACTAAAAATATTAAAAAATAATAAAGAATCTTTAAAAAATAATAAAGAATCTTGAAAAAATAATAAAAATAGAAACCTTAAATTAATCCTAAATAATTCCTAATCATAATTTAATGCAGTCCTATAAAAATCCTAAAAAAATCATAAATAATCCATGTGAATTCTAATAAAATCCTAACAAATCCTAAATAAATCCTAATGAAATCATAATAAAATCTTAATAAAATTCTCATAGATCTTAAATAAATCCAAAAAAATCTTAAATAAATCCCAATCAATTTTTATAATTATTTTGAAATTTCAATAAATATTAATTAAATTATTAATCTTAACTAAAATTTCACTCACATTTTAATTCACAAGCAAATAACATACATAATATTTTTCAAAAAAATTGAATTCACTAATTGAGAGAAAAAGCTCCATAATCTTTAAATTATCGGCTATCCTCCTTTTCTAACTTAGATATTGATTTTCTAGCAGCAATGTCTCTTTGATGAACCATTTAATTGCTTTATAAATTAGCAAAAGTTAGATATATAAGTCAAAAATGCTTTTACTAAATTTTTCTTTAATCAAATTGGAAATTTTTTTAAGATTGTAAAAAATCTTTATTGATCCTAAAATACTAATATCTAAGATCCTAATTTAAAAATATTCTAAAAAGTTATAAGATAGTTAGACAAAATATAAATTGGACCGGCAAGGGCCATATGGGTATTTGATCAAGTATGGCTTTTGTCTCTATTTTTTTTTAGTAAAGTTTAATTTTGCATCTTTTTGTTCAATTTTATTTTACTCTCTTTAGATTTATTTTTTCTTTTATATTCTATTTTGTTTAATTCTATTCAGTTTTATTCTAATCTACATTGTCTTACATTGCAACAAGATTTAGATTGCTATGGATTGGAAAAAGCTTAGATCTTAAAGATAGTCCAATCTCATTTCATTGGTATTAGAGCAAGTGTTAGTTTGTTCTTTGATTGTATATTGATAGCCAATGTCTAGTTTGAGGTCAGTTGTTGTAGTCACATCATGTATTGTTTTGAAGCTACTATAAACTACTTTTAAGAAGTCAATTAAAAAAAGAGAATGCACTACATTAGCAGAGTTTAGTGAGGAAATTGTAGCATGAAAGATATGGCGAAGCAATCCCAAATAGAGACTCAGATACAACACTTCTTAGGCTAGATAGCTACTTTCCAAAGACAAATAGAAGCCACTAGGATAAGGAAGTCAACGTCCGCTAGGCTGAAATTGAGTAAGCTGAGTACATACTTTGGAAACAAAAAGATTTATGGTAATGGCTCTTTAGCATGTGACAATACTTCCAACTATTTGGAGCAAATACCATCAAAGGAATTATGTATATAGTTAGTTATTTGAAAGGCGTATCAACTATTTAGTGGCAACATCAAGTTCAAAGCCATAGATCTTAAGATAGATTTTGTAACTAGGAGGAGTTTGAAACGGAGTTTAAAAGTCAATTTTGGCCCATCAATGTAGAGTAGATAAGATGCAATCAGTTAGCTAATTTTACATAGTTTAGGTCAATGCAAAATTATGTCTCTTGATTCAAGTCTTTATATTTTTAAATTGGCAATGTTTCAAAGGCATAAATGATGGATCGATTTATATGAGAGTTGAAACTTATGGTCTAGTGAGAAGTAGAATTAGAGGATCCATGAATATTTGAGGAGGCAAGTAGGATTGCGAAGAGGGTCAATGCTATAGATTGCAAAAACCATGGAGTATGATCCATGGCATGAAGTCCTATGCTACTATCTAATACTATGGTACAACAACCAACATCAATGAAGATTAATGCCCTACAAGAATCACTAATACAAGAAAGATTACAAATATTGGCACAAAAAGAATTATGTTTCTATTGTTGGAAGCTAAGCCATTAAATTGGAGGTTGTCCAAAACATCATAATTTAGGCACCAACAAATGGAGACAAATTCATAATCTCAAAACTCACTAAATTGATAATGAAATAGAACAAAGAAATGGGGCTCCTTAGTAAAGGTACCAATGGCCAATATTAAGAATAGCTATTGTCTCTCAGAGATAAATGACATGGCTACAAACAATTATCAAAAAAGATTGACTAGTATATCTAACAAGTCGATTAAAAAGACAATCATGTCAAGTACTTATAAATTGTTGTCACGGACACAGAAATACAGGTTTGAGATCTAACAAGAAGTTCAAGAAGAACTGGCAAGAACTAGATTAATCAGATGAATACAAGAACAACATCAGAGAGGTGAGCTAGAGCTCCAAGAGATGTGTTGTCGAGACTGAAGAACTCTTCAGCCTCGATTCCAATATATACTCCTATTTAGGGAGCTTCTCAAGCAACTTCTACCAACTAGGAAGCTTCTCAAGCGACTTCCACCAACTAGGAAGCTTTTCAAGCAACTTCCACCAACTAGGAAGCTTTTCAAGCAACTTCTACCAACTAAGAAGCTTTTCAAGCAACTTCTACCAACTAGGAAGCTTCTCAAGTAACTTCCACAATTAAGAAGCTTCTCAAGCAACTTCCACAACTAGGAAGCTTCTCAAGCAACTTCCACCAACTAAGAAGCTTCTAGAAGGTTCCAGAGACTTGCTTCTAGAAGGTTCTAGAAACTTGTCTCTAGAAGGTTCTAAGGACTATGTCCCTAACATCACCCCCTCCTTTAGCTTCGAGGTCTCTGAGAAGCAATCTTATTGTTAATCAGTACCAACGCAAGAAAATGAAGATTTTTTGCATAATATCTGTTATGAACTCCAACTGTTGTTCACGAGGCAAGTGATTCATTGGCCCTTGAAGCCAACGATAGAGGCCCACGCCTTCGACTTCTGACCAAGCATAAACTTTCGTGTCTTCATTATAAAATTATCTTTCAAATACACCTTCTGGCTGACCATCGTAAGTAGGCTCGAATTCAAATACAATCACCAGGGATCGGTTACTCGGTATCCTCCGTCGTCATCGTGATATAGGTGATTTTTGATCTCGGGGTCGCCTTCGTGAGCTAGTCGATTGAGATAATCTGACTGGCATAGTATTTATCTCTTAGCTATCCATATCAAAAGGCTATTGAAAAAATTCTACTTTATCAACTATGAGTTTTGGTGGTGCTCTCCCCCTTTCTTATATTCTTAGATGAGCAAGCTTCAAAAAGAAGCTATCGTTGAACCGACTTAGGTTTATGAGGATGTTGTTGATGAAACTCCCGTACTTTTTGTGGCGCATTGGCAAGATG